CAGGACTTTTGGTATCAACAGTAGGGTCCCCAAGGGCCTCACATTTTGAGAAACCCCAATTGCTGCAGGCCTCCCTGCTCTTCTAGCGCAGCCTCCAGTTCCTTTGCAGGCCGCACATCAACAGTGTATGGGGGTTACTAGGGGTACTATTTTGGGGCCCCACAATTACGATTATAGTATTTTGGGGATCTATGTGGGGGTCCTCCCATGTATGGAAACTGCCACATGTATACGTATGGAGGACCATCTAGAAATATGTGGCCTGGCTCAAGTCCAAAATCCCTTCATGTTATTCCTTCAGATTACTCTGGTGCTTTGAACTTTGCTTGCTTCGCCAACATGCGGCACAGTGCAAATTTCTATGAGTCTCAAGTGTCGTTGGTGAGAGTTGAGAGTTAAGGGAGGCTCTGTTCTGAGATCATTGAACAAGTGCCATCAGGGTGCCTGGCTGAAGGGGGACTTCTGTAGGACACCTTTCATGTGAATGATAGAGAGCACCAGGTGCTGAGGATCCAAATATCTGTGCTCTTCCGAAGCAGGGTTTGTGAATCATCAGGATGCATCTCACAAACCAGAAGTTGGGCCATCACAGTAAATATAACAGTGAAAGCCATGGGGCTGGCTTTCAATGTAGAAGTCGAACATCATCGTGAAGCTTGAGAATTCTGACACCAAGCATAACCTCAAGCCCAGACCCTACTACAAGTGATACGGAAGAAGTAGCGTTAAACTTTCACGTCCCACCCTGAAGCCCTGCCCCCATTAATCCCAGAGCCAGTAGCCCGTAAACCCCTTGAATCAAACCATGAAATCCCGAAATCCATACGGTGCCTGCAAACTCTAAAGCCCAGACGTAGGCTACTCCTGGGCGGAGTTGGTCTGCATGGGTCCCCAACGTCCTGAGTTGATGATCAGCCATTACTGGGGAGGTCTTGCGGAATGGGGAAAAGGTTCAGGGATCAGATTTAAGTAGCAGAGGATGTAGGGATTAGGGATTGGGCGTTGAGGTTTGGGTTTATTGCATCAGGCTCTGAGAATTTTGGTCTCGTACTTCGAATTCGCTTTGCGTGGTAGTCCAGCTCATGGGTTTAGGGTTCATTGTCAAAGGGTCACGGGGTAATAGGGTTGAAGTCCCTCGATTTCACCACTGTGGGAGTTCTGGACAGCCCGCAACATGGACGCTGTTCTTCCTCTAGACACTCCTCCACAATTCTGTTGGGCTGAGTTATGCTTCCCTGTATAAAGAGCACGGCTCCCTCGAGGGACAGCAGCATTACAGGTAGCAGCATAAGCCTGGGAAGATGAAATTTGAAGCATAGCAGCTTTGCATAAGCAAAGGTAACAGCAAAACCGGACCCTGCTCTATGGTGAGTATGGCGAAGCCCTGCAAGTGAAGAGGCCGATTTTCTGACTTCATGACTGCCATTGACAAGATCATGGATGACCGAGCGCTGAGCATTTGCACCACATTCTGGGTCTGCACCTTTGCGAACAATCAGTTTGGCGAGAACTTCGGTGCCTGCATTGTGGACACCCCCTTTGTCAAAGCCGTCGAGCTTCTAGACGTGGATCGAATGGAGTTAAATATGGGGGGTTCCTAAATTGATTATAGAAATTCGGGGTCTATATTGGGGTCCTCTTATCTAGGGAAATTACCATGCCATATTCCTACTCCTGCCTGGAAATTGTAGTAGCGACCTATGTTGTAGGAGTGACCCAGGTTTGCCGAAGCTACCATCCTCATGGTGGACCGTGATGCCGGATCGCTGCGGAGAAGCTGGTGCTGCTTGGAGCTCCACTATACCATCCTGCTCCTTGAGGACAATCATAGGTAACCTCATAGGTACCCTGCACATGGTAGTTTCCCCAAATAGGG